TCAGGACGAGTGACTGTTAAGTAAATCAAACGTCCAACCAAACGACGATAAGGTTCCGGATTAGACAAAGAATCTCCTGAAGCATGAGCAAGCCGATGGTTTTGCTCAATGGGAAAAGATGCGGGCTTGGCACCTAGAAGGCCAGTCTCAGAAATAATGTCAAGAGAATACTTTCGTTGACAAAGAAATATACCTTCAGGACTTCGTGCCACCTCAATCCCGAGGAAATATTTAAGAACCCCGAGATCCTTCATATGAAAGCACGTGCTCAAATAGGTCTTAAAGGCTCTCAAGGCAGCGGAATTATTCCCAGAAATAATTAAATCATCAACATACACCAAAACATTGATGTGAGTATCACCCTTAGTAAAAGTAAAGAGAGAATAATCAGCATAGGATTGTAGAAAACCATACTCTTTTAAAGCAGTAACAAGTTTGGCAAACCAACACCTCGGTGCCTGTTTCAAGCCATATAATGCCTTACGAAGACGACAAACCATATAAGGTTGAGAAGACACAAAACCAGGAGGAAGCTTCATATAGACTTCCTCATTTTCAAGCCATATAATGACTTACGAAGACGACAAACCATATCAGGTTGAGAAGACCCAAAACCAGGAGGAAGCTTCATATAGACTTCCTCAGTGAGATCCCCGTGCAAAAAAGCATTATGCACGTCCATCTGATGCAGCTCCCAATTTTTAGATGCTGCAACGGCTAAGAAAGCACGAACCGTGACCATCTTTGCAACTGGCGCAAAAGTCTCGTTATAATCGATCCCGACAATTTGATGATTACCAAAAACAACCAAACGAGCTTTAAGCCGTTCAATACTGCCATCAGAGTTATACTTGATTTTATAGACCCATTGACTACCAAGAGCACGTTTACCAGGTGGTAATTTTTCCATAGTCCAAGTACCATTATCCTCTAAAGCACGAATTTCTGTTTGCATAGCATGACGCCATCCTACATCTGTCATAGCCTCTTTAAATGATTTCGGTTCACAACCTGCAGTAACAGCGGCAAGAAATTGCCGATGGCTAACAGAAAATTTTGCACAATTAATATAATGTGTTATAGGAAAGGGCGTACCTGAGGAAGCAGATGGCGCGGGTGAACTTGGAGAGAGAATAGATGGACTGTTTGTGACAACAGTGTTAGTAACATAGTCACGAAGCCGAATGGATGGAACTTTTTCACGGAATCCACGTCCCATGTGAGGGTCATCGATAGCGTCCAGAGCAGCCCTGTCTGTCCCCCTTGTAGATGGAAGGTGGTGTGGAGATGTGGGTGTAACTAGACTTTGTTCAACAGTTGGGCCAGACTGTGATTCATTGGCTGCGGGAGGAATAATGGGAGCAGGCTCTAAAGTGGTAGTTGTTGGGCTTCGGGTGGTGATATGTAGTGGGGAGGATCCGTTTGTGGGCTCAAGATCATCCGACAATGATTCAGGATCCCCCAAAATATGAAAGTCAAAATCATCATCACCCAAATTCATGCTTCCAAAATCATATTTAGGACGAATAGGAGTAGGAGCATTTTCAGCAAATGGAAATTGATTTTCAAAGAACCGAACATCTCTAGAAACAAAAAAACTTTGATTTTCTAGATCAAAAAGTCTCCACCCTTTCTTACCAAATGGATACCCAACAAAGACACATTTTCGACTTCGACTTGCAAATTTATCATGCTTAGCTCGTTGATTATGGGCATAACATAAAGAACCAAATACTCGCAATTCATCAAAAACTGGCAAAGTATTAAATAAAATTTCATAAGGTGTTTTATTGTGAAGGACACTCGAAGGTGTTCGATTGATCAAATGAGAAGCTGCCAAGACACATTCACCCCAAAAATAAAGAGGAAGGTGACTCTGAAAACGCAAGGCCCTTGCCACTGTTAAAATATGACGGTGCTTACGTTCAACTCTGCCATTCTGTTGTGGAGTCCCCACACAAGAGGTTTGAAATAAAATCCCATTTGAAAGAAAATAATCTGTCAAACAATTAAACTCCGTCCCATTATCACTTCGAACAATCTTAACCTTTTGTCCAAATTGTCGATCAACCATAGCAAAAAATGACATAAACATTTTAAAGACCTCCAATTTATCAATCAACAAATAAACCCATACAGCTCGGGAAAAATCATCCACAATAGTCAAAAAATAACGAGCCCCACAAGAAGAAACTGTATTGTAAGGACCCCATAAATCACAATGAACCAATTCAAAAATTCGGGAGGCCTTATGAGCACTAAGAGAAAAAGAATCACGAGATTGTTTGGCACGAGGGCACACATCGCATGCCTTATTCAATTTATCACTAGAATGACGTAAGAAAGGTAATGACTTTACTACTCTCTCTGAAGGATGTCCAAGACGTTGATGCCAAAGTTCCAACAAAGACGAAGAACCATCCACTGAGATAGCTTGCACTGTAGACGGTTGCCGGAAGTAGTAAAGTCCATCTCTCCGTTCACCCGTTCCAATCAGCTTCCTCGTATGACGGTCCTGTATAACACACATATTAGAAGCAAATTGTACAAAACAGTGCATGTCATCAATGAGTTGTGTAACCGAAATTAAGTTGCAGTGCAATTTAGGGACATAAAGAACATTTTTAAGATACAATCCATCCAAGAGCCTCACACTTCCCTCTTTAGTAGCAATGATTTTTTGGCCATCAGGGAGTCCAACGGGACATGCGGCAATATGATGAACATCAAACAAATATGATTCGTCCCCCGTCACATGATTAGAAGCACCGGTATCAATAATCCAAGAAGTCTTAGAAAACTCACCATGTAAACGATCGGTAGAGGATTGAATATTACCAAACATAGTAGCTATAGTCTGCCATTGTCCCGCACTCAAATTAGGGAGAGAGGCAGGAGTGTTTGACGTGCTGGCTGTAGCGTTGGAAGAATTTCTCTGTCCATTGATCGAAGCTCCAACCATAGTGTTGCAGCCATCTACCGCCACCGCTCGCACAGTGGCTCCTTTACCATGACCAGTCGCGGGTGAGTCTGTACCACGGCCACCACCTCCTTTGCCGCGAGCATGAGTGGCTCCTTGAGTGCGAGGTCTATCGCCCCACCATTCTGGATACCCAAGGAGCTGAAAACAGGTAACAATGTCATGTCCAGATCGGTGACAGTGAGAACAAATCAGCCCAGATTTGTCAATCTTATCTGGTTTCGCTCGGCCGCGCCCTTCTGGACGAACAGCAAAGCCCACCACTTCCGGTAGAGATTCTCGAGCATGAGTAATTCCACGAACACGTTCTTCTTGAGTAATTTGTTGATAGGCACGATCAAGAGAAGGTAAAGGTTCTTGAGACAACAAAGTAGTACGTAATTGGGCATAATAATCAGAATTTAAACCCATCAAAAATTGATGAAAACGCTCGTTACTTCGTCGTTTTTCATGTTCCTTACCCAAATTACATTCACATTTTCCACACTTACATGTAATAATAGGTTCATGATTAGCCAATTCATCCCACAAAACCTTTAGCTTTCCAAAATATGTAGAAACAGGCATGATCTTGGATTGCTCACACTTAGCCAAATCAGTTTTTAACTGTTGAATTCGGGGTCCATTAACAACAGAGAAGCGAGCCTGCAATTCATCCCACAAAAGTTTAGCGTCATCATAAAAGGAAATAGTAGACTTAACCTCCTGATCAATAGTGTTCATTAGCCAGGATTGTTCGTAGCTCACTTACCATTCGCAATCCTCCATTGTGAAAGGTGCTTTGGGTTCCATAATCGTACCATCGACGAAGCCGTATTTCCGGCGGGATAGTAGAGCAAGACGCACAGACCTTGCCCATTCATCATAATTGTCGTGTCGAAGATGAACCGGAGTGATGAGATCTCCAGGTCTGTCTTGTGAGCCAAGAAAAAAAGGAGACGTATGGTCATTTCGAGAAGATATAAGTGGAGGTGGAGTCTTAGTCGTATTGTTACCGTCAGCCATTGCCGGACATGTATCTTAGCCGTGTGTCTCTGATACCATGAAGAAGTCGTGAATGGCTTTCCCTCCTATTGATATGTTTTTGGTAATATATATATACAAAAGAATAGAGAACAGGAAACTAGAAATTAGGAAACTAAAGCTGTAATTCTAATCTAATTCCTAAACTCACGCTTAACCATATATACATATGGTAGGAATATCTCAATAAATCTTAGGAAACTAAAGCTGTAATTCTAATCAAATTCCTAAACTCACGCGAAACCATATATACATATGGTAGGATTATCTCAATAAATCTCAATAGAATCAACTAATTTGCTCAGCTTCACCATGACTTAGATCTTGAGCAGTATTATGAAATTCGGTCCACTGTTCTTTGGTATATTTGTTTTATTTCAAATGGACATTCTATTATTTGAAATTCCAATAATCGCTCATTAAAATATAAGCACCCCTTTGATTTTATAGAAAATCAGATTTTTATTATTCAAGAGAAGTGGATCGAATCAAACACGTCTATCCCTAATTTCAAGTCAAAGGTTGAGTAAATTACAAGGAAGGATTCCAGAATCAACAATTAGATTCAAAACAAAGGTACGTACAACTGTCCATCCTCGTTCATGGCATAAACTTTAATTTGAGAAAAAGTCGAAAGTACATCTAGAATGTCATTGGCAGAAATAAATCTATATATTCTCGAATTTCTTGCACTCCATGCTAGTTAGTTTATAAATGGCTTCAAGTGAATCAACAACGATGTTTCTTTCTTTTTCTAGGTAGGATCCAAGAAAAATGAGTTGTCGGTAACATTAACAAACAAAGCTTTGGTTTTAATAAGACCTGACGGATCGAATAAATTGCATCATTGCATGTGACTGAAAGAAGCTAAATATGTAAAAACTACAAAATTGCTCAACCTGAAACTTAATTGAAAGGTTGGCACAATGATGCCATATTAACCTGCTCACTGAAGTGTTGACCAGTTGACCGATTCATTGATTTTTAATTGGTGCAAAGTCGTGTTTGAATTTGTAAAGCCATGTTTCTCCCTTATTTTAAATGGATGCTCCAGATGTTGCCAAGTGTCAGTCCCACAACCGTTGGATGGAGACATTTGGGTGACTCATTTAAGTAGCCTCCTAGGGTTGGAACTGTGCATTCTCTCCGATTTCTCTTCTTATGCACCGTTCGAACTCTTGACTCTCATTCTCTCTGAAAAATCAAAACTCTCTTTTGATTTGTGGTTTCTCTAAAATGTTGTAATCTTAAGCGATTTCTATTTTGAGTAGAGTGTGAAGTTTTTGTGTGAACAAGTGTTTTTGAGTGAATGCTGATTTACTATGATCTCTAGTGGTTACTATCTGAGTGTCTAGATATGTTCATTCTTACATTGGTTGTATTCCATTCTGAACGGTGGTTGTTTCAGTGACTGATGCACGGGTGTAATTTGGGTTATTGCCCTAGGACAAAAATTTATCAAGTTTCTTTTTTAGTACTTGTTTAGTTCTTATTTGTGCACATTTTTGTCGATCTTGAGCTAATATTGTTGAACCTCCTCTTAAGCAAAATAATTGGATTTCATGACCTATATATGACAAAAAGAATAATTATGAAGTTTTCGTCACTCGCAATTGGTCAGAAATTTCTAATGTATTAATAATCTAAGTAGACAAAATATATGTAAATGTCAACGTCTTCCCTGAATACTTATCTACTAATTGGTATGAAACGAAAAATTCAAGGGGACCATTAGACGTGATTTGGGATGCCATACTGAACAAAAATGAACACGTGTTATTGAAAAAAGATACCTTATTTTGTAGATAAACTTCCTTTCAAAATAAGTAATGTATCTTGAACTCTCTAATGAAATCAGACTAGGATATTTGTCCTATATGCTTTGAAACTTCTCCATATACACCCATAAAAAAAAAAAAAAAGATAATCTTATGCAACTGCTAAGGGGCCATGCGAGAAGTTGGGTGAATAAAAGACATGAAATATTTAAAGTGAATGTATATAAATTATAAGTTCTTCGATGTAGGGTAGGTAATTTTACCACATGGGAAATTAACTTGTTCTAATTTTGTATGGTTGCATAGTGACTCGTGAATCAAATTGAACAACTACTCATTTCCAAACTGTGTCCCAAATGGACTACATACGAACTTAGCTCCCACAATTGATGAAGTAACAATATGTTACTTATTTGATGGCAATAAGACAGGCCTTCATTAACCCAATCATCAAGCTATTCCAATATATACATCTATAACAGGCTTTCTTGCTATCAGATATATCAAAATTTTCACAATTTCTTCTAAAGTGTGTTGTCAACCTTTTCCATAAAATTGCAATCATTCTTGTGAAACCCGTCTCTTTAAAAGAAATGCAAGCACGAGTTTGTAACACTTTTGCTGAAGAGAAGAATCCAAGAAGGAGAGGTATTTCTTTATGAAAACTTACTTTGATGGGTTAACTACCTTGTTAGTCACTTAACTTTACGAAAGATTTTC